AAAAGTAATAATCTATATACATATATAATGTATAATAATTGAAATGTGACTGTATTTTACAAAATACTAGTCTACTAAAACATAGTCAAGACATGTCACTTAGTAAAGACTAAAGGTCAGTTTTATATTATTGGATACGGTAACATGAGAACACGTGCCACATCATTGTAACTTCTGTATTGTTAGCCAGACACGGCCGAAAGGACAATATAATAAATATATATAAATGTATAATGTTATGAGGTCCAAACATTTATCTTTTCATGTTATAATTTGTTGGCATTCTAGGATGAAAGAAGCATAATTTATATTTATTTCCTAATTTTTTATGGTGGTTACAAGATTGGTCAAATCTACTGAACCTGAAGAGAGATTCGTTAGTGAAAATAACAGATAAAATATAAAGTTTTTTCTTAAGAAATGTTTGATAACTATCTGGACATTATAAAAGTTTCACATGTGAAATTTGAAAATTGCTTTGCATGTTGGATAGGCAACATGCAAAAAGTAAAAAAAAAGGTATGAGAAAAACATTGCTTAACAAACTTTAAGACTTAATAAAAAATTTGATATTTCACAAATGAAAGCACTAATGTTTACTGATAATCTACCAAATTTCGTTAACATACGCTTACTAATTTAAATATAGCATGAAAATTATATCAAGCACAAAATAGTTACAAGGTCGGTCCCAGGGACTGAGCCCATGCTGAAAGAGTTAAGTTAGGTTTTTAGAAGATGAGTAAATAGTTTTTGTGATATTTTAGAGTCTGAAGAAGATTATTAAAAGCAATGAAAGGTTTTTAACTACTTTTGTAATTCATTGCTGAAGAATTCTGAACATTTCCAGAGTTTTGTATGGATCAGTTATTAGAGAACTTTGAGCTTCAAAGATATTCTTGTGTTGGTACCCAAGTTCTTAACCAGATTTGTCTTCATGGAGCTATGAATATGCTTCAGAAAATTATATTGTTAAATGGTAAAAAACACTTAAGACTTTTTTATGATAGGTTTTCAAAATATTCTAATATTAGACTTCTTTAGGAGACATTAGAAATATTTTACCAGTCTTGTCATTTTTGGTTGTGTATACTTAAAAGTATGTAATACAGCATGTATGAAAAATAATATGTGTATAAAATATCAGTATTTAAGTTTTGTTTAGAAAAATAAAGTGCTCACTATAAAAAAGATAATATTTATATTCACCTTCTTTCAAAGGAATTCGACTTCAGGAAGTTAAAGTAGATGAACTGCTCGACCAGCTTCAAACCCAAGTACAAGCTCGAAAGAGTAAAAATATTAGCATACTTCATCTTGGGGCTGAGGTGAGGTACAAGATTGTTTTAGAAACCTTTTAAGTTTAACCTGTATGTTATGGGTTTTTTTTAGATTTATTGAATCGAAATGTAATGTTTGTGATAAAGAGAGAGACAACTGTGAAAGTTAGTATATGCAATATTGATTGTTTTTTTAATTTTTGTGGATAACTGAATAATTTCCATCTATAACAATATAGGGGTCTAATGAACCCTATCTAAGTATGTTAATCTTGTATTTACATTTTGGGTGTTTCCAGAAAAGCAACTTATCTTCGACATAAAACTAAAAGACAAAAAAACTTTCAAACTTTACTCGTGAGGTTATTTAATTTTTGTCATTCTGTTTATTAATCAGACTGTGTAGACGTGTATTCTCAGTATCATCTACAACCAGTTTCACTCGATTTCATATATTTTGTGTTTTGCATTTATTATTTATAACATATCTTAACTTGACAAGTTATTCATTAATGATTAAACTTTTGTTAGTTCATTAATTGAAAAAAAAAACTACTATAAATAGTAGAGCCATCGCTAAGTACTTAAAAGATTTGGGGCTTGGGTCTTTAAATGCAGGAATTTTTGGTGTTTCATTATGATATTGATTATAGTTTTCTATTCTGATTTTTCAAGACACCAACTGGGGATTTGGGGCACTTTCAAAAAGAATTGGAGCATGGGCCCCATGTGCCAGTGTCACCTCTGATAAATAGTTTGTTGTAAAGTTAGCTGGTATTTTTAATCCTAATATTCTAATTTATATCTGTTCCTGTCTAATCTATGACATCATTTAGCAAGACAAAAAAAAAAGGTTTTTAAGTATGTTTCATAATTTTACAGATGAAAATAAGGGCTATAACATTGTAATTTGTAGTATAAATTTAAATTTATGTCTTACATTTTAAAATAGTATAATTTTATTACGATGCATTTTTATGTTTATTATACCTTATGATGTAAAGTTTCGATAGATAATTGATGTGTTTTTAAGCATCTTCTATTTAAAATACAACAAAAAATATTATGTTGAACTGATGCATTGTTCACTATGCTGGACACTTGACAGTATGTATATTTTTTGAGAACTGTTTGAAAACAGTACATGAACTGACACAAATAAATGTGCAGTGTATTTAAAGATGAAGAGAAAAATAAGTTGTTTTTCAAATACAAAACCCCAAACTAGTAAATACATTAGGTAAAGAATATCTAAAAGTAGTGACAAAAAATAAGGATATGATATACCAAAATTTGAAAGCTGGTGTTCATGACATGTTGAAAAAGGCTGTTAGTGACTTTAATAGGTCAGTGATATTGTTCCCATGTACTTATAGTAACCATAAGTATTTACTAAAGTCACTGCTGGTTACTCTTGATATCAAAAAATCAAAATAAGATTAAAAAAAAAAGATAAATAGCAAAATGAGAAGAAACCCAATAATCTTAGCACTATTTAAAAGTAGAACTTCCTTCTTTAGTGGGAACAAGTATTCATTAGTGATTACAAGTACCATTGGTAGTCACTAATAATACTAAGAAATCACATAGGATATAGAATATATAAATCATAAAACAAGAGCCCCTAATGATCCAAGCATTTTTGACAGATCACTTTCGTGTTTGAGAGATAAACTGAAGTATATACAAAATGTAGGTTCAGGGCTGTAAAGCATTGAATAATTTAACACAGACAACAAAACAAAACCAGATACACGAGTGAACAAGTAAACAAAATATTTTGTCACATTAATGTTGAATCTCTTTGTTTATGTACGTTACTGGCCAGTTTCTTATTTCTCGATGTGACTTTTCACTGCCTGCAGAGGTAAGAAATTCCTAGGCTTTCCAAATTTGTCCTCACAGACAAAAAATTTTATAATGCACTTTCATGTAGTGCATTAACACACAATCCATAAATTACCTACATCAGTGACTATTCCAAATGACATATTCACATACCAGCTTGTACAAGTATCTTTGTCATTCCTTGAGATCAGCTTGCACAGATACAGGGTCAAACTGGTACAAACTTCCATTGCTGAATGTAACACTTATGTGACCAAAATTATTACTACATGTTTACAACCTTCTGACATCTGGTTTACTAGGATGCCATAATTACGTGAGAGCTAGCATTCACTAATGTTCACAAGTATCACCATGTTCCACTACTTTTCACAAGTACAACTGGTATCATTGGTTCCACAAGATTCTTTTCAACAAATACATAATGACATTGATAATTTATTATTAATGCCACAGGTAAACATTGCCTATGTATTTCATTTAACAAGTTATTTATAGTTCTACATAATTGATGTTTCTGTTTAGATTTGCTCTCGACTTAAAGGACTTAGGTTCACTTGCTGTAAGAGTGGAAAGGATCGCACTTCAATGTCTGTAACATTGGAACAGAGTGTGGTTCTGCAAAATGAATTTGACCTGGATGAAAAGGAAGTCCCTCGTGTGTTGTCCTGCATGCGAAGGTAATCACGTGTTCACAACAAAATTATCTGATATTCTAAAGATACTAGAGAGAAAACAAGATAAAATCAATAGCTGTGGCTTTAATTAGATCTCAAATTAGTCAAGAGATAGAGCTATGGGCTAAAAGTTTGTACTTGAAAACAACTTAGAGCCATTCTATGAACCACCTTGCTGTGGCTAAAATGGTGTTTGGCACAATGGTTTTAATAAAACTCTTTGTTTCTTATTAATGATGATCATGTACAAAAAAAAATTACAAGTATTTTATTTTATTAGCTTTAGATTTGCAATATACAGTATATGTAAATGCTAAATTAGGTACATTTACATAAGAAACCCTGATTGCAAATACTTAACAATGTATTTGGTCGTCAAGAAATTAGTGTCACGTTTAGGAACACTCTCATTAACACCCCCCCCCAAAAAAAAACGTACATCACATATAATAGTTAAACAAACCACCTATGTGTCACGTTAGTGTAGTGTATATAATGTGTAAAGTTTGTTATACTCTAATCTCTTATAGTGATGGTGCACGACGAGACACGCATTGGGT